ATTAAAAAAAAAAAAAAAAAAAGATTTTAATCGTTCCACTAATAAGAAAAGTAACTCGAGTTTATGGAGAATCAAGGTGAATGTCTCGTCTCGATACATTTTTATATTCTTTATTATTTCATATTCGCGTTCTATATTCGATTGTTTCAGATTCTGTATATCGTTGCAAAGTAAAGGAAGAAACGATGGAAATTTGTCTCAATCTCGAGGAGAGAGGTGTCGAAGAGCGGCTCGTTGAAAATCGGTTCGAAGAAATTCGCGAGGACGAAGAGGGTGAGGAGGGGGGCGAAATGGAGAAGCTCGAGTACAGAGGAGGGAAGAAGAAAAGGAGGCAGGAGTACAAGTATTCGTGCCTGAGATGCTTGAAGAGTTACAAGAGAAAGGGCCACCTGGTCGAGCATCAGAAGATATTTTGCGGCAAGGATAAACAACAATGTTGCCCCTATTGCGTTTTTCGCACGTACAAGAAGTCGAACTTGAAAAAGCACGTGAATCGAAAGCACTGCGACGTTATCGACTACGTCAATAATCAATCGTCAGAGTGTTGTGAAGTTCGTTAGAATAATCTTGGGCGTAAATAATTTCGTTGAAATGATGGAGAAAATTTTAAATTTACGAGAAAGTTGAAAGAAAATTAAAAAAAGAAAAAAAAAGAGAAGAACGAATAAATAAATTTTTATAGAATTTTTACAGGATTTTGACGTTCAAAAGTTTTAACGTTCAACGTTGACATAACGTTCAAACATTTGTAAATTTGATAGAAAAGGGAAAAAAAGGATTCGAGGCAAGAAAATAAAATCGATACCGCTTTTCTCATACGTTTCTCCTTTCCGTTATCAGCCATCCTATCTCCATCCACGCTTTCGATAGATACTACTCTTCTTGATTAGAGACTTAAGCCTTTCGCAGATCCAAAGAATCATTATCGAGACTTCGTCACTGTCATAAACGGTATCCTTTTTTGCTTCGACGAGAACTCCAATTTTCTCGCTTTTTCATCAAGAAAGATCGAAAGACACGCCGATCAATCACATCTCTGTCAATCGTGTCTTTCGATCCTCTATAAAAGCAAGCAATGGAAAATTTTCCTTTCAAAAGGAAAGGAAGTTTACAGTAGAGGATCCGAAGAAAG